GTCTCTTCCAACTTATTTGTAGTTTATTTCGTCTGAAACCACCACAGCCTGCAGTACACTCTGACAATCTGCTTGGGTGGAACAGACAAAAAGAAAAGAGTTGAAAGGCAGAGATGAAAGTAGGTTCTCTTGATTGGATTATCTTGTGTAACATTCTCATGGTTCAGGTAGAATATCCACCGTAACACCAGAAGCTCTGCTGCCATATCTAGCTGAAATCCTCTGCTCTCCTTGCAGTAGTAGAAACTGGTAGTAGAAACAAGAGCTAACATGGCCATAGCTGATTGTGGCAGAATCCTGGGTGCTCCATTGTTGCCCACCAATTACCACGTCGCTCACTATCCTAATGGCAGCCGTGCAGGGAAGATGTAATCAGCATTGGGTATAGCATAAACGTCAGCACAACAGCAGAGCCTGTTTATGGCTCAGGTAAAGTGTGCAGGCAGATTCCCAGGAATAGTCCTGCCTGTGGGTTTCAGAAGCTTGCTCCTGGTGAGAAGGCGTTTCTTTGTTTACAGACTTCCTAGAAGAAGGGTTCAAAACTGTATAGTGGTAGCAGTGCTTCCATGCAGACAGTGCCCTTACACAACGGTCTGTATTGGGTGGGGGTGTGCAATGGGAACAAGCATTTTTGCAAGTGGAACAGTGTCTGGAGCTACATGTATAATAAAGGAAAGACATGAGGAGAACACGTGACAGGCTGGCAGCTCAGTGGTGAAGGGTGTTGCAAAGAGATAGGGGGTTGACTTCCACCTGGGAGATAAAGAGATTTCTACAGGGCAAAACTTGCCTCTGGGATGAACTGCTGTTCTGTAGTTTCCCAAAGGTTCAGCCTATGATGTTTTCTTACAATATGTGTGGAATCCAAGACTGATAACATCTTAGTAAAGCATCAGTTTCAAGTTTAAGGATCCATTTATTTAACAAGTGTCAACAAGGTAAAATAGTTTAAACAATACCTCTCTGCATCTTCACGCTATTCCCACTTCCTACATCCTGGCTTATATATGCCTCCTTCCCCAGCAGTGAGTTCTCTTAAACCAACACACATTAACACCACATGTCTGTAAGGGCAGAAAATAGAAAATGTGGCGGTTGGGTGGGTTGAAGGGAAGAGCGATATCATTTTTGGAGGAAAATGAAAACCTTGAGGGAAAATGAAGTGCATGCTGTACTCCCATCAAACCTAAATGCACTCTTACTACTTTTAAAATAACAAAATATACTTGCAAAACGTAGCATGTGCAATTGTACTGTTTGATGTGTTTATGAAATTTAAATGTATAGAAGAATTCATTTCCTCAATTCCCTGCATTGATAGTAAAGCTGCTTCACCCTGAAGTATCCAAGTACATTTTGGTTTTTGCCAGTTGTGGAAATGGGTGCAGGCAAAAGTGTGGAAAATATGAATCCATCAGTGACCGTTTACTCATATTTGCTCCTTGGTTTTGTTGTGTGTATAGTTTCATGCTCAGTTTCAGGTTCTTTGCAGAAGTTGGGATTGTTGTAGACAATCCTGAGACTTCAGGTCTCCATCAAGCTAGCCAGAATAGCACTTCTGTCCTTGTGCAAGAGTGCATATGCATGGCCATGTTACATGGATGCCTTAACTGCTAAGAGCTCTGTAGTATGGAGTCCTGCTTGGTACACATAGAACACATTGGCTCACACGCAGGACTTCTCCCTGTAACCTGCCAATAAAGGTCTGTGTAAGTCTAAGGTTCTAGTTTTGTCTAAAAAGAAATGTCCATAAAGCTAGTAGACTCCTGCCAGAGTGGAGAGATCCTAATCCAAAATTCTCTGCACTATTTTGGGATTTCACTGCTGCAGCATCTAGTTAATCTGTGCAGGAAGAGGGTGAAGTTAAACATGAGTTAAATGAGTTTGAATTGGGAGTGTGCGCTCAGTATATACTGAGCCAAATAAATACCTGAAAAATACCTTATCAGTATTTTCTGTGTATTTATTCAGCAGAATACGGATCAGAGATCTGTACTTGGCTACCGAAGTAACCTCACTTGAATAAAAGCTGGTATTTGGCTTTTATTCGGGCGCAGCTACTTGCTGGATCCTGCCACTGCTTCGGCGTGACTATGCAAATTCAGAAGGTATTTAAAGTTTAAATGCCTTCCCTTCCCTCCTGGAGTCATGCCTCAGCTCCAGTGCAACTCTGGGTGGGAAGGGAAGGCATTTAAACTTTCAATCACTTCCCTTCACATGCGGAGTCGCACCATAGCTTCGCTTCACTCACAGAGTCGTGGGGTAGCTTCCATTCCCTTGCAGAGTCGCACCACAGCTGCAGCACAACTCCGGGAGGGAAGGGAAGGCATTTAGAGTTTAGATCATTTCAGTTGCCAAGTTGCGCCGCAGCAGTACAACTTGGCAAGTGAAATTCTCCATTATACCCTATGGAACGGTCCCCATAGGGTATAATGGAACCGAATAAATTTGGGTTTTCCAAATATTTACCTGAATACCAGTAAAATACTAATACTGGTATTTGGGAATATCTGGCAATACCGATATTTTTCAGGTTCAATATACTGGAATTGGGGGGGGGGGTGAGATTTTTTTTTTTTTGCATACCCCTAGTTTGAATTGCTTCCTTAGAGATCAGAGTCTGTTGAGAGATTTCTACTGTGTTTAGATATAATGATTAATGCTTATGTAGCTCTTTAGCGGCTTCAGTAAAACTTTTCACAATATTGTTGGTCCTTGTGACAAGCTTATAAAGGAGAGCAATATCGTCATGTTACAGACTATGGCGGCAAATGGAGTTGGAAATGAGTCACTTACTGAAGACCATACTATGAGGCCATGATTCCAGGGAGACAGGGCGAATACCCTATTGTGTCAGCTCTTATTGTTTGAGCGGACCCTGTTGTATGGATTCTTGTATAAAAAGAGCTCTTTTGCACTCCAGGAAACGTCTTCAGACAGTAGCTTGGAAACAGAGATGAGCACTGCAACCCTAGAGTCGGATTCGACTGGCTTTCGAGCAAGGGAAACCTTTACCTTTAGAGAGTTCTTTTACATATATATCGAAATCCATAAACCAAAAGACAGTGTCTACATGAATACATGCAGAAAGAGGATCACCCAACTAGTGACTTTGTTGAAGACTTTCATATAATGCAGTCCAAATTAATTAGCTGTGGATTGGATCCAGCGGTGTGTGAACAGAAACACTTAGCACACTTCCCCTTTGCAGCTAGTAGCACTAGATATACTGCAGTGCCTGCCAGTCTTAGTAATTGTTTGCACAGTGTGCTGTGCAACTGGAATTGCTGTGGGATAAATAAGCTTAATGTTGTACAAGCTGTGATCAAGATCTTTCTTTTGCTTCTGTTTGCACAAAGACTCTAGCACCCACGGAAATCATCTGCTGGATCCAATCCATGGCCTATTTGCTTTGGGGGCAGTTAACAGGAATAATTCTTTGGCTTTGCTAATCCACTTCTGTTGCCTCTTTCAGAAAAGATGGTTTATCTGCTGGTTTGCCAAGTTACTATTGTTTTTCAGTGTTCCTGTCTTGACTGATTTTGATTTCAACCTGGAATTCCATAGGTACGTAGGCAAGGAATATTCTGCTGCCCAGGAATTAATGGAAGATGAGATGAAGGATTACTACAGCCAGCAGAACTCCTCAGTTCTTCCTATACAGTCACTTAAAGTTGGTCAGCTCGTTGCTGTTCCTGCAGTAGAAGATGCTTGGCTGCGGGCAAAGATAATTGCAGTCGAAGGCAATAGAATAAAGGCGAGTGTGCCCTATTTCTTTATTAAAGACAACACAGTAAAAATCAGGTGCTAGCCCCCGTGACTTGTCTGCATAAGTATTTGCAGTAGGGCAGTTACTTCTGCCATGACAGACTAAGAACTGCAGCTCTTTACCTCTTGCAGATAGTGTGTCGATGCTTCATAAATCTTAACTTTAGGACTTTCATAACTGTAGCCCAAGGCAGTGGTCTTTCGTTGGTAACAGTTGCCATCCGACAGATAGGGGACTGATCAGAAGTAGTGTGTGCCGAGCTTTTCTATCCAGCTTCGTGTCTGCATATCTCTCTTCTGCTTCCAGCTACAACCATGAAGGGCTTGGGTTCAGGCCATCTGCAAAACTTCCTCTGGTAGGAACCTTTTCATCCCAAGTCAGTGGGGAGGGACCGTGGCTCAGTGGTAGAGCCTTTGCTTGGCATGTGGAAGGTCCTAGATTCAATCCCCAGCATCTCCAGTTGAAAGGATCAGGTAGACCTCCACCTGAGACCATGGAGAGCCACTACAGTCTGAGTAGTCAGTACTGACTGATGGACCAAAGGTCTGATTCTGTATAAGGTAGTTTCATGTGAATCTTTAGTGGTCCTTCTTGGGGTCTCTCCAGCTTCAGAGTTGAGTCAAATAATAGAGACAGGGCCTCCTTTGTCATGGCTCCATAACTCTGAAGTTTTTCTATTCCAAGTCCATCTGTTCCTTCTCAAGGGGAAGAGGACACTCTAATACACCTGGTTTCCTCTTCCCACAATCCCTGGAGGCAGGAAATTGATTGCACTCTCCATCTCCAGGGGGAGGAGTCTTTTTCCTGCCTCCTCCTGCGAGAGTAGTGGATTTAGAGAACTGAGATTTTTCCTTTAAGGAACTCCTTTGGTTGCACTTCGTTCCTCTCTTTCCATGTGTGTGCCTTTCTGTGTGCCTTTCCCTGTGTTTAAAAACCAAACAAACTTTATTTGTTCTTCTGGCCTTGTCTTCTCCAAGGCTGTTTGTCTTTTGCTCACCGCTTCAGTCACCACGATGTTTGGAGCTGAGATCTCCGACCATGGGACCTCCTCTGAGGGAGAGTTGGGGGAGGTGATCCCCAGGCAGCAGAGTAAGAAATCCCTGCAAACCCGCTTGCCCAGCTGTTCCGCCTCAGCAGTGCTCCTGGAGAGAGCCATAGGCAGCGAATTGCCTGGCTTGGATCATGAAGAGGATCAGAATAAATACAAAGAGACTTCCCAGCTGAAATCAATATAGAAAGAAAGAGAGCTGAGCTCTCTTTCTTTCTATATTGGATCATGAAGAAGCAGGCTTGATTTTTGGCACCAAAATTGCTTCCTCTTCTGATCAGCCAGGAAGGCCTGTATCGGCCCATCAGGCCTGCTCAATGCAGCCTTCTGCAGGCTGTGGGAGTGGTGAGTCGAAGGGAGACAGTAGCTCCCCGGGGGGGGGGCAGGAGGGGAGACAGCCCTTTGTTGTCCCACCAGGCTTCCAGGAATAGCTAGAATAAGTTGCCTCCAATCAGATTCCGTTGGGCAGACGTGTTGTTTCGAAGCAGCAGAAGTGGCACTTTTAAGACCCAACAAAGTTTTATTCATGGTATGAGCTTTTGTGTATCTGAAGAACTGTGCTTGCACACAAAAGCTTATGCCTTGAATAAAACTTTGTTGGCCTTAAAAGTGTCACTGGACTCATCAGTTAGAGCAGGAAAAAAGGGTTTATTTACCCTCCCGGAAAAGCTCACCCCTCCCTTTCCAGTCAAACACCTGCAAAAAAATTAGCTACTTCAAGGCCTCTAGATACAGAAAAACGCCAGTGTTCCTCTTGGCCAACAAAGCACCTTCCCCATTAGGAGCAATTATTCAGATTTCTCAGACTACAGATCTAAAGACAGGGATTCCCCCTTAGGTTCTGAGGATTCTGATGCAGCTCTGGATAAAGAGGAAGGCCAGTTGTCTGAGGATTTAGTCCCTCAACAGAGTGAGCCAGCTCACTGCCTTTTTTTCCTCACAAGACGCTTCCTGCTCTCTTACATAAAGCTTTTAAAATCCTACAGCTTTCTGACCCTAAGGAAGAAATCCCCAAGGAGGAACAGGCTGATAAGAACATAAGAGAAGCCAGTGTTGGATCAGGCCAATGGCCCATCCAGTCCAACACTATCACACAGTGGCCAAAAATACCAGGTGCCATCAGGAGGTCCATCAGTGGGGCCAGGACACTAGAAGCCCTCCCACTGTTGACCCCCCCCCCAAGCACCAAGAATACAGTGCATCACTTGCCCCACACTGAGAGTTCCGATCTATACCTTGTGGCTAATAGCCACTGATGGACCTCTGCTCCATATGCTTATCTAAATCCCTCTTGAAGACATCCATGCTTGTAGCCGCCACCACCTCCTGTGGCAGTGAATTCCATGTGTTAATCACTCTTTGGGTGAAGACTTCCTTTTATCTGTTCTAACCCGACTGCTCAGCAATTTCATTGAGTGCCCACGAGTTCTTGTACTGTGAGAAAGGGAGAAAAGTACTTCTTTCTCTGCCTGCTCTATCCCATGCATAATCTTATAAACCTCGATCATGTCACCCCTCAGCCCTCTGAAAGCACATCTGAGTCAGCGTCAGTCAGCATCTCAGGAAGGACCTCCTTTGGTGGACCTGTTTGTTATCATGTGCTTTAGGTTATGCCTTGGGTTTTGTCTGGTTGTACTTTAATTACCCACTGCATTTGTGTTTTGTCTACTGTTACCATTGTTAATTATTGTGATTGTATTTAATTATCTTCTGTAAGGTGTTTTAGAGAGGTCTGTGTGTAAGTCATTAAGACTATAGAGGACAGGACTTCATCGTTGCACTGATGAAGAATTGCATCTGGATCAAACCTTGGTGTGAGCCCTCTAGTGTTTAATGATCTTGTTTCTCTTGCATTACTAGGTGTGCTATGTTGATTATGGCTTCAATGAAAGCATCGAAAATACCAAAGTGTACAGACTAGTGAAGCAGTTCTATTCGCTGCCTTTCCAGGCTTCGAAATGTAAACTGGCAGGTAAGATAAATATGTGCAAATGATCTTTTTTGTTCAGTGATCTCATATTGGGGTGGTGTTAGAGCTGTGAAGGTCTGGAAAGAAACAAAGAAAGAATCGGAGGTGCAGGCTTTTCTCTCAAGGACTTTTTGGATTTTTGCAGTGTTAAAATAGACATTTGGAATATCACCCGGGGGGGGGGGGGGAGGCACAACACATGCATATGGAATGAATGAAATGTGCTAAGATGACTGGCATACAGCAGTTTGCAGATCCCTCTCACTCATTTTAGTCTTGGATATATTTGCAGTTTTTCTTATAGAAAATTGAATCATTTATACCTTCACAAATATGCAAATCAATGATGTTTTATGTGCTAATTAAGTTAGAAATGATGCATTTTATGTTGAAAGCAGTGTAATAAGTTTTATAGGAAAACCAGAATTGCATGTATTTCAGTTTCCCCCCTAATTTTTCTGAGAGGTTTTCCCCCTGGGACTTCACAATTTCTGGGACTTCTATATCTTTGGAGGCCAGTTTGCAATCCAATGTGGTTGCTTTAAGAAAATTGTAGAAAGCGCTCTATAGCAGCAGTTGATGTCCCTGTAACTGGATTTTCTCACAAATTGTATTTTGCAGTAAAAATGTAGCAACATCTTATATTCTAACAGCCAACTGTGTCCCCATCCCCAGATCAGTGCCATGTAGAGGGTAAACAGATTTTTCTATACACTTCGAGGACTCACCAGGTGTACAGAAAAATCTGAAATGTCCCAAAAAAATACACAGGGGGTTTTAATCCCCTGAAAAGTAAAGGCGATTATCACAATTTTATCACGATTATCGTGGGTGCCCCACTTGTCTGCATATTATTAGTGACATGTGGCCCCATCCTCGGATAGTTAAATCCACAGTTCAGGGCCACATGGCATCTAAACAGATTCTCTAGCAAATTTGGGGGAACTCTACAAGTTTGCAGAAAAATCTGACCGTTTCAAAAGAATTCACAGGGGGTTTAAATCCCCCCCCAAGTAAAGCACTTGCCTTTAGTGGTTGGCTGCAGTGGCTCTGGGGAGCCGCACTTGGGGGTTTAAATGCAGAGATGTGTGCCTGGAAGTTGTGTTGGATGTGGGCCAGGCAAGGAGGGAGGAAGAGAATCTGAATCCCCTCCTGCAATTATTGCAGGGCTATACTTGTACTATATAATGATGCATCATCAGACTCTACCTGTCTCGTCTCCACTCCCCACTCTGGTTGCGTGCCCTTACTTGGAGCTGCACGTAAAAACTTATAGCCTCTTGTAAGCCAGAATGACATAGGACAGCAATGGGGCATCCCTTTCTTGCAGACTTAGAACTGCAAGATAAGCTGAAGAAAATAATAGGGGGACGTGCTCAGTATCTGATTTGAGTTCGAATTTGTCCTCAGTGCCTTAAGGCTGTCTTTCTATTCCGTCTTATACATGGTCTTTTCTGTGTGCTCCTGCAGGATTGCAGCATGCTCAGCCCTGTTTGTGTTAGACCCAAGAAAAGTGTTCAGTATGCATTGGGTAGATGAAAAGGAGTGAGAGTCAGGAACTGGCCAACAAATGGAAGTTGCCAATCCATCGCTGGTATTATCCCTTAAAACTCTGTTGTACAGCTTGGGACCAGCATACCTTAAGGACCCCCTACTTCCATATGAACATACCTGTTCGTCTTTGGGGGACTTGCTTCAGGTACACCCCATTGTGGCACCAAAACTCTGACTTCTCTCCCCCCAGGCAGACACGTCTGTCCTCCTCTGTTATCTTCTGCCAGCAGGTGAAGCCTTTTTTCTTTTAGTTGTTTTAATCTTGTAACCGTCCACCACTATGAGGGCCCTAATTGGCTTGAAAGACAAGTTAGAAACAAGAATAAGTTTTTATTCAAGTCAGAGTCTTGCAAATAGACTACAAAAGATTTCAAAACAACAAGCCTAAGGCAGTTTGCCTTAACTAAACATAATGCTTCATATTTACCATGTCAGGAATATCTACAGTCCAAATAGTCCAAGGGATTTTGAAGGGAAATCCCATTGTTGCACTCCATGTGCTTTAAGTCCCAAAGCAGTTCTTTGTTCTCCAACAGACCGCATGGCAGGACAGCATTTCCAGGTGCAATAAACAAGCACAGAGCAGAGAGCTCATGAGCAGGAACAAGAACACAAGAGCAGCAGAGAGAACAGAACTCTCTCCCATTGGGAATGACCAGTTATTGGCCCATTCCAGTCACAATCAGCTGTGGCCAGGCGGCCAACTGCGAGTGGGCAGGGGGGGTGGGCAATTCTTGGTTGTCATGGGTGCAAGTGGGGATAGGCTGGACGTCTGGAGACTCCCTCTGCAGTCAGGTGACCCCAAACTCCAGTCTTCCCATCGGCTACGGCTACGTGACTTTTTGCACGCTGGCCTAGCTTCCAGCATGGAAGTATGAAGAATGTGGGTTTATGGCATACAATTGAGGCCATGGGGCCCACCATTTGGCTTGTAACAGGAAACAAGGCATAGCCTGTTATCAGAAAGATATCACAGGAGAATGCAGGAGACATTTAGAAAGCAATATTTCTATACAGTTTCATACATTGTTCATTTATTTACTTTGTTTCCAGGGAGAACCCAAAACAGTTTACATTGTTCTCCAATCCTCTCATTTTTATCCTTACAATAACCCTGTGAGTTCAGGCTGAGAGTGTGTGTGACTGGTCTTACCTTTCTGATCCTGGCTTCAGAGTAATGACAATCCAAGCAGACATTTGTACACAAGACACCCCCCCTCCTTTTCCCCGCAATAGCCATAACATCTGTACTCTTTTCTTGTTGTTTTTGTTGTCTGCTGTTCTGTTTAGGGATGGAGGCCTTCTGCGATGACCCCGTCTTGGTGAAAACGGTGGAGTCTCAAGCCTGTGGCAAAATATTTGCCGTTGAGATACTGGAGAAAACCGACATTCCTCTTGTTGTCCTTTATGACACTTCAGGGGATGATGACGTCAACATTAATGCTACTTGCCTGAAGGTGCTTTGTGACAAATCTCTGGAGCTTCATCTCCAGGTAAACGTCCTCATCTGCTTGTATGATCTCAGGAGGCATCCGGTAAGCAGCGATGGAGGATACTTAAAATTGCAGAGGCGTTCATGAGGATCTCTTTTTTTATGTTTTTGGTAGATGAATGCGATCTATACAAATGTTCGAGTAACCAATGTATGTTCAGATGGGACTTTATACTGCCAGGTGCCATCAAAGGGCCTGACCAAGCTCTCAGAGTGCTTGCAGAAACTGGAAAGCTATTTCCACCACAAGGTAAGTCGGCTTTTAACATTAGTCAGTGACTGTGCTCAGCCGTTAGATGAGGTGTGTGTAGATTAATCTGCTCTAGAGTCAGAAGCTCTCAGGACTGTAAGCCTGAAGTAACAACCTCTTACATACTAATGAGGAATTCTAGAGTGCTCTGTCCTCTCCTTGTTGGCCATCACCTTTATTAAAGTGCGTGAACCTTGTTCACTTCAGCTGCTTCTCATTTTGGCTGCCCAGTCGATTTACTTGCAATGCATGACTCTAGTAGTCTACATTTCCGCAAGTCTGTAGTTTTTAACATTTTTATGTAAGGTCAAGTGCCACACAGCCTCCTATTTCACAGAAAAAGAATGTACCTTGGCTTGGATCTTGTGATCCATCAGTACCTTCCACTGACAACTGCAGATTTCCCCCCTGTTCACCTCCCCCTCTGACCTTGGGGAAAATAGTTCCTGGGGTTGAAGACTTAATAGCCATGTGGTGTGTTGAGGGAGGAGCCTTGACGTCATCCCCTTTCTGCTCCTCCGGGCAGCCTCCACCCACCTACTTGGTCACATCAGTCCCAGCAACCTCATGAGCTAGCTTTCCTCAAGCTGGAAAGGACTGCTGCGGGGCAAGGTAACGAAGGGGAGATGCGCTGTCCTTGCACCCACAAATTGTTCAGTCCAACCCCTTGATCTCCTTGTTCTATGTAAATTGTGTGGTAGTTACATTCTTGCATATGAGGTTCTGTAAAATGACCTCCAGAACCATTGACAGAGCATTGCTTTTCTAGCAAGTACAATGATAGCAATTGTTCCTGGCTTGTTCGGCAGGTCATGGAAGTGGGGCTAAAATCCCTGTGGCTTAGGGGCCTTGATGCTGTGCAAGGTTTAGATTGATGTAATGTATGTTGATGCCGTAGGTGGTATCATTCAGGAGGGGAAGTATTTACCAAGTAGCTAAGCTACGTGATTGGAAAAACAGGGGCCCAGGGGTTAACAATTGCTTATTCTTCGAACATCCTGTTGTCTGTTGTTTGCATTGAATGCAACATGGGACACCACTTAGGAAACTTGCTTGTGAATATCAAACTTAAATATTCCTTATCCTCTAGATGTTGTGATTTCTCTGTACTTCATGGCACAGAGAAGGTTCTAGATGTAGAAATGACACATACCTTCACCCACAAACACTGACTAAAAGTGCTCAATCTATTTTCCTTTCATTTCTTGAATTTTACATGAACCATCCTTAGGCATAGGGTGTCAAGAAACTGGTTTCCCTATGCAATTTCTTGTTCAAATTTTCAACATTGGTTCAGGCTTTGGCCTAGCAAAGTGGCCTAACAAAAAAAGAAAACCCCCCCCCCCCCCGAAACATAGGAAGTTGCTAGAGGTTTCAAAGATGTAGATAAGAGACATGGGAGGTAACCCAGCTGCCAGTCATGCCATTAGGCCTGGTAGCTCCAAAGATATCAGATAGGGGAGGGTGACTTGGCCCTGTGCTTGGATGAGCCTGGGTGTTGCCTTGACTGTCTTTTTTGGAGGTCTTGCTGACCAGAAATTTTGTCTTGGAAGTTTGGAGCCTTGAAGGACTCAGCCTGCTGTTGGGTAATACCTGGGCTTCGAACCATTGTTTTTACAAGTGCTCAGTCAGACTTTTAGCTTTGTTATTTTATCCTCACTGTTCCCTGCCCTGCTCTGTTCTGATTATTTTTGCACAATTTTAGATAAATCGCTTTACTTATATTCTTGTGAAATTCTTGAATTCAGGAGGCTTCTGAATCCAGCACATTAGCCCTCATTGGCTACACCTGCCAGAGTAATTGTTTGTGAAACTTGCCGAAGGTGTCCTACCTTGCAAGGGTGACTTTCTTGACTTTAGTTCCAGGAGGGTCTGAGACTTCGTCCCTTGGTCTCTGGCTGTCTGGATAGCAGAAGGGGACTGTTGGCAGATCTACCCTGAGGTGTGAGGACTCATACTTCAGCCTTTTTTGGTTGTTTGTCTCACTTGGCCAGCCCCCCCTAAAAGACTCCTGTCCTGGTTTGGCAGTTTGGACAGGGGAACCTTTTGACATGGGGGGCGGGGTCTCCTGTTTTACAGTATCTTTTAAAAGTCTTTTCCCACTTCACAGTGGGAACACAAGGGCAATTCATTGGTGTTCTTATTGATAGACCCCCCCCCATGACTACAAAGAGAAATGGTGGCAACTGAAACTAAAGGTCTTCTGGCTTCCAGCAAGTTACAGTGCATTTCTTCTTGCACATGTGGTTGTTGGGATTGGGTGTATTCAGTCTGACTGTAACTCTTTATTCCAGCAGGCAGCAGAAGGCTCGGTGTCATTACCTTACTGTGGCAAGATCTGCTTGTTTAACTCTAAAGGAAAATGGGCACGAGTAGAGGTAGGAAGCATTATTGGTTGTGGTTAACAGGTCAGTTTCTGAAGGGTTCTAAACTCTTCTTTTGATTCAACTTGGGAAGTGTGTCTTAAGGTGGGATGCTTATCTGGTTCTAGAACAGCATCTGACTTCCATCATTCAGTGGCCTGTTTCTACTCCCCTACCACCAGTTTGGCATTAAACCCCCCTCCCCAAGTCCCCTGTGGGTTTTTTCGGCCAGTTTCTGCCACTGCAGAATCTGGGTGTGGCCATAAGATGGAGCATTCCCCTTAGTGTTGGAATGAATTATCACTGAACCAAAAGTGGTTAAACGTGTTAAGAGGTATTAAACAGAAACAGAGCCAAAAATTGAATCTGAAAACTGCTGCTACAGAGATGCTTGGTAGAGTTCCTTTATCAGCAGTAATGATTTCCGTACATAGTCCTTAAGTCGAGCTTTTGATTTTTAGCCCCTTACTCCAGAGAGATTTCCATTTTGGCCCCAGAACAGCTTGCCAGGTGGCTTCTGCGTTCTTTACCCATAGTCAAGGTGATGCCTAGTTGACTCCACTAGTCTGAGATGCTAAAAATGTTTACATTTCTGAAGTCTCTGAATGTTCCCCTTAATGGCTTCTCGGTTTAACTAATGTTTAATGCACTGGCTATAAGGGAGGATTCTAAACGTTTGCTGTGGCAATTCAGTCTTAATTGTCATGGCCATCATGGTGTAGTGGTTTGGGTGTCAGACTAGAATCTGGGAGATCAAGGTTTGAATCTGTACTCCACCCTGCAGGCTTGCTGGGTGACCTTGGGCTAGTCACACTCTCTCAGCCCACCATATGCCTCACAAGATGGTTGTCCCATGAAGATAAAATGGAGATGGGAACAATGGAAGGTGCTTTGGTTTTCAGTGGCTGGAAAGGCGGGGGTGTATAAACGTATCAGCCTGGCCATTTTGATATTGTGCCATTCCAATATTTCTGCTTCCCACTTCTTCTGGGCAGATAACAAGTGTTCATAGCAGTCGGGCTCTTGATGTGCAGTTTATGGACACTGGAACGGTAGCATCTGTCAAAGTAGCAGAGTTGAGAGAGGTTCCCCCGACATTTCTGCGAGAAGTCATTGCCATACCACCTCAGGTACAATGCTTGCAAGTAATTCTGGACTGCTTCTGCTACTTGATTCTTCAAACGTGCTCTGCAGTTGTGTACCTCAGTATACCTATTGTAACTGCTGGATTATTTTTAGGCGACAAAATGCTGCTTAGCCGACCTTCCCCTTCATACTAGGATGTGGACTCCAGATGCTGTACTTTGGCTGAGAGATACAGTGTTAAACTGTCCCGACTGCAGCATTAAGGTAACACAAAAAAGCATGTTGCTTAATGTTCAGAGGTGTAGGGTGTTCTTGATGTGAGGCCTCCCCAACCCCAAGAGAGGTGAGTTGGGCTGTGCTGCAACCGCAGGGTCTGCCAAGGATGGGGGGGGGGTTTGCCCTCAGACACACACACCCTTTGCATCTTCTTGGGTTTTTTTGTGTGCTTGAAATGGTGGGGCATGCAATTGGCATTAAGAGATTGCCGGCCAGACCAGTAGCAGATCTGGAGCCTAAAAGGGAGAAGAGATAAATACCGGCGTAAGATGCAATTATTGTGGTCTTTCATACTGGCAAGCCATTGCAAGGGGGTGTGGTCCATCACTAAAACAGAAGAATTGGTCACCAGATAGAATTGGAGGGCTCCCACAGCCCATTTTATGGCCAGCACCTGCCCCCCCCTTTCCCTCTCTCTCTCTCGCTCCCTCCCTCCCTCCCTCCCTCCCTCTCCCTCCCTCTCCGGTTGACTATCACGTTTCGGATGCCTGTAATTTCCTGCCTAGAAACAGGATGGGGAATTCTTGCCCCCTCATACTCTTGAGAGACAACGACCCCAAGGCCGATCTCCAAGGCGTCTGTGTGCAAAAGAACAGTTGGTAAAAGTTGGGGTTGCGGAGCTACGCCTCCGAACAACACACGTGTGTTCTTTTCTGGAAAAAGTGTTCATTGATAGGTGCTGCCTTTCTGCACCCACCATCTTTCCTTGTGTAGTGTAATCTAATGTTACCTATTTAACACTGAAGTATTTGGTGGGGGGTGGAATTATGGTGCACAGCATGATGTAACAGATGGATGTCCATGGACTATTTCTGATACAGGTTCTTACATTGTCTTCTTAAGACGGTATTCTGTATTGCTGAAGTCCATCTTGTTCTGCACTGAAAGAGCACAGTAGGCAACAGATCTGATTTTAAACTATGTTGGATCTGGCATTGCTCTTTTTGGGGTATTTTTGCATTTTGTGTGTGTGAGTGGGCACATGTCTGCTCGTGCGTGTGTGCCCCTGCCTGGAAGTCATGACAATCTCTGGCAACTCCTACTGGGGCATCCCCCCCCCCCCCCCCAATAGCTCCTGGTTTTGGACTACTGAATCTTTTTTGTGCTTAAGGAAATTGCTCTTGTATCCTTGTAATACTGTTTTGAAGTGGGAAATGTTAGCAAAACCTGGCATGAAAATGAAGCCAGAGAGCACCTCAGTGTTGGGACTTGTATCTTGAAACGTCTGATTGTTTGGCACAAGGCCTCTGGTGTTTCAAGACATCAGGCCTCTCTCAAGTACCGAAATAGGAAACTGCCCTTCCCAAAGTGACCAAATCTCATATTTTCCCATTGTCAACCATACAAAATTATTTCAAATTGTGTAGTACGGCACAACTGGATTCTAACTGGGGTTCAGATATCAATTGCAGGTGGGGGCGCAATAGAAAGGGGATAGTTTTCTGATGAGTAGGGGCTAGCGTAGTGGCTGAGACTGACCACAAAGTCCCATGATCATATTTCAGCTCTGTTATGAATTCTGTACGTGGTGTTGGGTGAGCTGCTACTCCCTCTTCCTCAGTCACTCATCTGACATATTGGGATAATCCAATTTTGTTAATCCTGTTGTTCCTGTCTGTCAACATTTGGAAGTTGTCCTCGCTCTGAACAGATGGATTTCTCTTTGTTTATCGTCTCAGACTGGCCCCTCTTTGTACCACCTGCCGACTCCTGCCTTTCCGTTGCTTGCAGATTTCAATATTTCTCTGTGCTTTGTGTATCTGTCAGAGTGAATTTTAGACTCCAGAAAAATTATGCCAGAATAAATTTTGTTAGTCTTTAAAAGTGCCCCCACAGGCTGGCTTCGGCTTAATTTTATTCATTTTATTACATACCCCCCACTTTCTGTGAAGCTGAAAATTATTTCAAGCACCTGTTTCGAAGCATTTGTTCAACCTGCGATGAAACCATGCAAATATCACAGAACAGACAAGGCACTACTATGTGTAGTTCCATATGAAATACCTCACACTGCGGTAAACGAGCGACATCCGCCAGGGAGAGTCAAAATCGGTTTTCGGCAGCCGTAGACTGAATTCAGTAGAAAAGCCCTGTGAAAGAGCACTGCCCTACGGACCTTCCTGAAGGCTGCAAGCAAAGGCTCCCTGCCACCTCTGCTGGCAGCCTGTCCCACAAGATGGGGGCAATGATGGGCAAAGCCAGTGGGTGAACTTCAAGGATGTGCATCGCCTGGTAGGAAGGAACAGCTGGCATGGACCACTGCGAGGAGCACAAATAGGGAGAGATTCTGAGGTCACGAAAGATGAGCTCCCAGGTCACGAAAGATGACTTCCTTATGGCAGTGGCTAAAGGAGAGGACAGGCTTTATTTGATTCCAAGATCATTCCTTCTGCACGCAGATTCTGACTTCTGAGGGACTGCTGGGGGCTTTTTCCCCGTGTCTCTTGGCATGTGGGATAAGGGACAGCAGTTCCGTCATTTCCCTCCTCTCCTTTTCGGCCCCTTACCTCTTCAGAAGCAAGGCAGTACACAAAGCTGGTGTTAAAAACAGATTTTAGATCCGGCTAGAGTCAGCAACAAATCTTTGTTTAACATTGGTTGTTCGCTGTGTTTTGTAACCCGTGCCAGGTCTTGCCAAAGCGCTAGAAATGGAGATGTTAGCAGGAAGGGTTGGGGATATTTTACGCTGGCATAAGTTGCTTTATGCCTTTCTGCTATACTTAATTGACTGTTTGACATTTTGTTGAGTGAAACAGTAAGTTTAAGTTACTTTGATTATTGTAGAGAGAAGATACAGAGAATCATAAGAGTGGGAAGGGACCTCCAGGGTCATCTAGTCCTATCCCCTGTGCAGGAAATGCACAACTACCCCCAGTGACCAATGCTCCCTCTAAACTGTGGAGTCTTGTGAGCAAAAATTCTACTTTCTGAGCTACTGGCATTAAAGTTGTGAGCAAGCGATTTGGATACCGCAGAAATTAGTTTGCTCTGGAGCCATCCTTCCTGAGCTAAG